ACATTGGCATTTAATAGACTATATCATTGTAAGGAGAAAGATGTGAGACAGGATGTCAGAATGATCAAGGCAATAAGTGGCACAGAGTGTTCGACTGATCATAGATTTATCCTCTCCAAGCTAAATATTCACATTCAACAAAAGCGGTGTCCCCAAGGCAAAATGACTACCACAAGAATTAATGGCAACAGATTAGAGCTTTCCTCTGAGAGGGAACAGTTTGTTGCTAACTTGGATGGAAAGCTGAGCCAACAAATAGTTGGCAACAGTAGAGGAAAAAAGGAGTGGGCAACTTTCAGAGATTTGGTGTATAACACTGCATTTGCTCATCTGGGCCAGAATACTTGTAATCATTAAGATGAAAATGATGGGGAAATTCAGAATGTGTGTCCAAAACACAAGAACTCCACAGGGTTTTTCAGTAAACCCTGTGGTTTGTTCATCCATATCTAAGAAGGCAGCGTTTAACTCTGTCAAAAGTAAAGTGCAAGTGAAGCTTAGAGGATTCTTGGCTTAGTAAGAAGACAGATGAAATTCAGTTTTACACTGATAGTAACAATCCAAAGTGATTTTATGATGCCTTAAAGGCTACTTACGGGCTGAAGACCCATGGTGCATCTCAACTACTCAGCACTGATGGAGCTTCATAGATTAGTGAGGGTATATGATCCAGAGAGATGGGCTGAACACTTCCATAGTGTTCTCAACAAATCATCATTAATGCTGAAACCACTGATCATAAACCTCAGGTTGAAGTTAAACTTTCTCTAGACAAACTTCTAATTGAAGAAGAGGTATTGAATGCCATTAAGCTCCTCTTGTGTGGCAAAGTGCCTGGTGTTGATTCTAACCCAGCTGGAAATTTACAAGGTAGGGAGTCCACTACTCATACAAAAACTGATTGAAATCTTCTAGGTTGTATGGCAAGAGGAGGTTATCACCTAGAACTTCAAGGATGCCTCCACTGTCCATCTCTGTAAAGGAAAAAGGAATAGATTACCCTATGACAATCACTCTTAGTCACTGCCACCAAGATTCTTGCCAAACCCCTCCTTAATAGTCCGATCCTTCACCCGGAAGATAGTAATTTACCCAAGAGCCAGTGTGGCTTCAGAAAGGGCTAAGGAGCAACTAATATAGTGTTTGCTGTCTGACAACTTTGGGGAAAATGCCAGGAGCAGAATAGAGGTCTGTATACAATGTTCATGGATATAACCAAGGGCTTTGATAATGTCAGTTGTGAGGGATTGTTTTTGTCAAATAGTATTGCTTCCATGCTTTTTAGCATGATGTTTTCAGGAATGTCAGACTCCTTCAACAAGGATGAAAATAACATCAAGATCAGCTACCACACTGATGGTAAATTATTTAACTTTAAAAGGCTACAAGTCAAGACTGAAGTTAAGGAAGAGTTGGTACATGACTTTTGGTTTGCAGATGATTGTATACTCAATGCAGCCTCTCTGGCTGAGATACAACAAAATATGGATCAATTCTCCTCTGCTTGTGCTAATTTTTTTCCCCTAAATCTTGTGTTATCCTGATTGTGTTTCCACAATACTTGAATTGTTTTTTTCTGGCTGCTTGCAATATTTTCTCCTTGACCTGGGAACTCTGGAATTTGGCTACAATATTCCTAGGAGTTTTCCTTTGGGAATCTCTTTCAGGAGGTGATTGGTAGATTCTTTCCATTTCTATTTTGCCCTGGTTCTAAATATCAGGACGGTTTTCCTTAATAATTTCTTGAAAGATGATGTCTAGGCTTTTTTTTTTTTGATCCTGGCTTTCAGATAGTCCAATAAGTTTTAAATTATCTCTCCTGGATCTATTTTCCAGGTCAGTTGTTTTTCCAATGAGATATTTCACATTGTTTTCTATTTTTTCATTCTTTTGGTTTTGTTTTACAATATCTTGATTTCTCATAAAGTCACTAGCTGCCATTTGCTCCATTCTAATTTTTAATGAAGTATTTTCTTTAGTGAGCTTCTGGGCTTCATTTTTCCTTTTGGTCAATTCTGCTTTTGAAGGCATTCTTCTCCTCATTGACTTTTTGGACCTCTTTTGCCATTTGGGTTAGGCTATTTTTTAAGGTATTATTTTCTTCAGTATTTTTTGGGGTCTCTTTTAACAAGCTGTTGACTGGTTTTTCGTGATTTTCTTGCATCACTCTCATTTCTCTTCCCAGTTTTTCCTCTACTTCTCTTGTTTCTCCAAATCCTTTGAGCTCTTCCATGGCCTGGGACTGATTCATATTTTTCTTGGAGGCTTTGGATATAAGGAGCTTTGACTTTGTTGTCTTCTGGTGGTATGTTTTGATCTTGTCACCAAAGAGAGATTCTATGGTCTGACTTTTTTCGTGTGCAATTTGCTCATGATCCCAGCCAATTACTTGAGTTATAAACTCTTTGTTAAGGCAGAGGTCTGCTTCCAGTGTGGAGAATGTGCTATCCCAAGCTTTAGGGGTTTTGTGCAGCTGTTTTCAGAGATAATTCTAGGGCCCTGTAAATTTTCAGTTCTTCCAAGGTGGTATGATCACGGGCAAGGTGTTTGCTCCTTTCCTGGTCTGTGCTCTGCTCTGTGAGTGACCACAAGCACTATTTTCTGCCTTGGAACTGTGAGGAGGATTCTCTCTTCACCACCACTATAAGCTCCACCATGCCAGCACTCTTCCTCACCCCAGGACCACCACCCAGACCTGCAACCCAGATCTAAACATAGGCAAAGCAAGAGAATCTTGCCTCAGCACCAGCAAAGAGATCCCTGCAATCTCCCTCTGATCAGCCAGTGGATTCCCCCTCAGTCTGTGGGCAGGAAGCTCTCGAAGCAGCTCCCAGCCTGATTCAATAGAACTTTCCAATCAACCATCCAGGTTGTCTTGGGCTGGAAATTTGTTTCACTCTGTCTTTTTGTGGTTTCTGCTGCTTTAGAATTTGTTTGTAGCCATTTTTTACAGGTATTTGGCGGGCTTGGGGAGAACTCAAGCAAGTCATTGCTTTTACTGAGCCATCTTGGGTCCGCCCCACTGCTTTTGTTAATTTTGACCTAACAACTAACACAAAGGAAACAAAGGTTCTCCACCATCCAGAACCACACCCTCCATGTGTGGAACCACTGGAGAAATTTTGAATGCTGTGCATGAGTTCACTTATCTTGATAGTATACTTTCCAGGGATGTAGACATAGATGACAAGGTTGGTACATGTACTGTCTGAGTTAGCTCAGTGTGTGGGAGTCTCCAAAGGAAAATGTGGGAAAGAAGAGGTATTAGACTGCCCCCCAAACTGAAGGTTCACAGTGCCACTGTGCTGACCTCTGTTGTATGCCTATGAAACCTGGTAGTCTACCAGCACCATTCCAGGAAACTGAATTACTTCCATCTGAATTGTTTTAGGAAGATTCTGAAGACCATCTGTCAAGATAAGGTACTGGACTGTGAGGTCCTTTCTCAAATTGAATTGCCAAACATTCAAACTCTCAACTCCGATGGGCTGACCATATTGTTCAAATGCCAAAAGTACTTTTGCCTAAATAAAAGACCATTTTACAGAAAACTTACTAATACAAGGCAAGTGCTCACATGGAGGACAGAAGAAGTGATACGAGGACACTCTCAAGGTCTCTCTGAAGAACTTTGGAATTGAGGCCCACCCAGCATGGCATGCCTACATCAAAGAAGGCTTTGTGTTCTATGACCAAATCAGTATTGTAGTAGCTCAAAAGAAATATCAGATGTACACATTTGTAGATATCTCTGCTCCAAATGCTCATATGGACTATTTTTGTCCAACTTATGGTACTGCCTTCTGAGCTCATATTGGTTTGATCAGTCACAGTAGGACACACTGTACCTTGATCCCAACAGACTGATGTCATTTTGGTCCTTTTTGAGAAGAAAGGATAACAACCAGCCAAATCTGTCTATCTGGAGTGTCCCAACCCTGATGTAATATCTCCTATTTGAGTAGCCTTTGATATGTCAACTATGGAGTGGGGTGGGGGAGTACCAAATCCCCTCTCCCTTAGAGTTGTTATTTATATTTTTTCTCTCTGAATAATCAGACTAAAACAGGGAACCACAGAGTTCCAGATCCTCCAAAAAGCCTAGAACGCACCCGGAAGTGAGACTAAGAAACAAGCGCTTTGCTTTTTTGTTCTCCTCGGAGGAAATTGCCCACAATCCTCCGAAAGTAGACCCCTGGGACCCTCGCGTGTAGTGTGCGGGGTCACTCTTCTGCACCCCATCTGAGCCCCTATTGTTGGGCGGTGAGCCCGGCTAGGGTCCCCCTTAGCCCTGCGGGACTACCGTGCGGAGGGTCCCCCGCCCCTCTTCTGTATCCCCTGCCTGGGCTGCGGGGAGCGCGGGAGGTGGAGACCGGGGGAGCGGGAGCGGGACTGGGGCTGGGGAGTCTGCCGGTCTCTGCCCTGGGCTGCTACGGAGCAAGCGGGGCCCCTTCTTGGGGTCACTGAAAGAACCGAAAGAGAAGTGTGGGGGGTGGGAGTGGGGGTGGAACCTCCTAAACTCTTGTAGGTTAAAGGATGAGACCAAAATCTGTTCATACCTTCCTCTCTAACTCTGACTTATTCTGGCCCATCCCTCGAGCTTTTTCACTAATGATGCATTCGTTGGTGTAAACAAGGGGAGGATACTTGGCATAGTGTAAAGAGAAGTGCCCTTGTAGTCAGGCAGACCTGGGTTAATGTCCTGCCCCTGATATACCAGTGAATCTGGGCAAGTCACGTCATCCCTTCTTCTAACCCCTCCCAAGACTTCAGATTAACTGTGCAGGTGCACAGTTGCGTTACTAGAGGGAGTTTCTCACCAGGAGTTACATATGTTTCACAGGTCCCGTACTTTAAAAAAAAATAGAAATTTTTTTTTCTAACTCTCTTTGTGATTAAAATATTCTTTTAATTATCTTTATGTCAGGGTAAATGTACTATAGGTATTGATTTTTTTAGTTAATGTTTGCTACTAAATCTTACTCTTTCATCCCAAAGTAGATCAGAGAACCTAAATTACTGAATTTACTTCTATTTTTGTAGTCTCTCCATTTAAGGTAGCAAAATGTCTACACATTTTCCTATTTTCACAGAACTCTAATACTATTCAGTAATTTGTCCTAATCACTGGTCTTCATTAGTTATGATTTCATAACAATTAGCTTGTGGTTTCTCTGTCTTAAAAATGTTATTTCTCAAGAATTTCTGTATATAAGAGTTGTTGAAAGGGAATCTTCCTGAAGTTTAGGTAATAGATAGAACTTGTCATCTGTTTGGGCTTTTGAAGTTCAGAATGACTGAAGCTTCAGCTGCCCAGGCTTCCCAGGAGCTAGAGGGACTTTTAATAGTGAAGGTAGAAAAGGAAGATTGTGCCTGGGGGAAGGAATCTGACTCCCTTGGAAACAAAGCCTATATCCAAGAGATCTCCCGAAGGAACTTTAGGCATTTTTGCTACCAGGAGACTGGAGGTCCAAGGGATGCTCTGAACCGACTCCAGGAGCTTTGTCATCGGTGGTTGAGGCCTGAGGTACACACAAAGGAACAGATCCTGGAGCTCCTGGTGTTGGAGCAGTTCCTGACCATCCTGCCTGATTCACTGCAGACCTGGGTCCAAGATCGCCATCCAGAGAGTGGAGAAGAAGCTGTGACGTTGCTGGAGGATTTAGAGAGAAACCTTGATGAACCAGGAAAACAGGTGAGAAGAGGTCTGTCGTGGGAGATGAGGGGCTTTATGCTGTGGAGTCACAGCCTCGGGAGAGGTACTGCGAGCCTTCAAGATTCATTTGTCCCAGTGGAGCTACCAGTCTCTTTATCACTTTCCCTTTCCTGCTCCCTGCTGCCATTAAAGAACCAAATGACTTTTTTTTGGGCCTATTTTGCCTTTCCTACCGAAAGTTCATCGTAGTCACTTACCTGACATTTTATTTCCAAGACTCCATGATTGCTTTGCAAGCCCAAATGTATATAATTGTTCCCAGGTCCAAGCCTGTGCACGGGGACATGAAGTGCTTTTGGACAAGACTACATCTGTAGGAGTATCAGAGGATTTACATGAGGCCCAGTTCCATCTGGTGGAGACCCAGACTCCACATGAAAGAGGTAAGTATTTGAATTTCATCTGAGAAAGAGCGGGAGACTAGATCTTCTGACTTCCATCCCAGTGTATTTTCTACTATATTCTGGTCTGGGTTGCCTTCCATGTAAAAATTTATTTTCTGTGTATTTTAAGTTCTTTTCCAACTCTTGTCATTCAAATAAACTAATGTACCATTATCTAGATGGAATTGAAGCCTTGTTTTCATCTGTCACCAAAGCCACATTCCAGATAATCACAATGATAACTTCAAAAATAATCACAAACAAAACACTTTTCTCATAATAACCTTAGGAGATAATTAGTGCAAGTCATATTATCCCCATTTGATAGATTTGGGCTCTTGAGGCCCAGAAAAACTTTCTGACTTTTTTTAGATCAAAGGGTTTGTAAGTAACAGAGACAGAACCCAAATCCAGGCCTTCTGAGGCTAAGTCCAGTGTTCTTTCTCATATATATATTACCTGTTCTGTTCTTTTCCACTACAATAAACTCTTCACTAACTTTACTAAACTGTTGTAAGAAAGCACTCTATAGGGGGCAGCTAGGTGGTACAGTGGATAGAGCTCTGGTCTTGGATTCAGGAGGACCTGAGTCCAGATCCAGCCTTATACACATAACACTCACTAGCTGTGTGACCCTGGGCAAGTCACTTAACCCCGTTGACTAAACAAAAAAAAAAGGAAAGAAAAGACTCTATAAATTCTAAAGATTTTTACAAATGTGAGCTATTGTGATTATTGCCCTCAGTGTTTATTATTAAAAATCCATATACCACAGTATAAGCACTTGAAGTTTTAAAATACTCAAGGAATTTTGAAGCTAGAAGGGAATCTCAACTCTCCCATTTATAGATGCAGAAATCCAAGATTCAATAACTTGCCTAAGAAATAGAAAATAGGTAATTAGTGACAAAGCTGGAACTAAGATCATAGGATTTAGAGTTTTAATTTTTTTTGGTGAGGCAATCGGGGTTAAGTGACTTGCCCAGGGTCACACAGCTAGTAAGTGTCAAATGTCTGAGGTCAGAGTTGAACTAAGGTCCTTCTGACTCCAAGACTAGAGCTCTATCCATTGCACCACCTAGCTGCCCCAGATTTAGAGAGGAAATTAGAAATCATCTGGTCCACCTCTCCTCTTTTTTTTCAGGTAAAGAAACTGGGGGTCTAGAGTGAAATGACTTGCTCATGGTCACACTGCTTTTGAGCATTAGATCTTCTGATGGTTCATTCCATGGCCAGTATTCTTTCCCCTTCGCCACTCTGGGTCTCCCTACTCCTAGTCTAATTTACTTTACCCTGTGATATATTCACTTTGATTCATTTAGGCCCTCCTATGGTCTTAGTTGCCCTCCATGTAAATTTTACCACTTCTTCATTTTAAGTGCCTTTCTAAACCTTGTCACTCAAGAAACTAGTGTCTCATTCTTCTCTCCTTATACATTTTCTGCTTATCCCATGTTCCTGGCAGTTCCTTCCATTGCTACTCACTTTTCTCCTCCGTCTTACTGCTTACATTTAAAATTCTACAAACCTACTTCCTAGATAGTACCAGCTATTTTTAGAGAATTGGATTCTTTCACTTTAGTGCCTGTTTGTGTTATTTAAATCCTGAGAATGTAAATGGCCTGGGTACATTTCTTCTCAGAGAATAGATTGGGGAAGTTTTTGTTATTGGCTTGCCCATTACCAATATTCAGAATTCCAAAGGCCTTCCCCATTTTCCATCTTACCCAAGAAGAGGTAGATGGTGGCATTTGGAATCATTTTCCCCTAATCCAATGCCAAATGAAGTGTATTAAAATTCCTTGAGGCTAGGCTTAAATTTTTAAGGAACCAGGGATATCTTTAGGAGATAGTAGCTGAAACATTGGGAAAAGAACTAAAAGGACTATGTTAGGAGACACTGGATTTGAATATAACTACCAGAGAGCCGTGTTCCTCCTTGTAACTGATCTCCATTGAGAGGCGCCAGGAATTGCTTCTTGGACCCTATATAATCTAGGTTGCTGACGTACCTTTTACATAGGTGCTGAATACCTGGAAAGCCTCAGTCTCAACCTTATCTACACATTAGTTGTCTTTCCTTGAATTCCTTGGCTTTGAATAAAAGCCTTTGCTACACAGCTACAACCATAAATTCCTTCCTACTAACCTTAGCCTGCTTATTTATTCTGAATAAAACCATTTCTAATAATTGTTCTTAACCAGCAGTGTTAAACATACAGCCCCAGGCTACATATAACCCAACACTCCTGAGTGCAGCCTGCCTCTTAATAAAATATAATAGGGAATATTTAACAAAATTAATAAAAAACATAATAAAACACAGATAACAGTACATTTTAAAACTAAGTCAATATGCAGCCCACAGGTGGCCACTAATTTCTCTTGAGCTTGACACTACTGTTCTTAACTACCTTCTGGTTCTCATTTTTTATTCAGTTGCCTCTTCTGACATCTTCCAAAAATTCCACCCTCACACTTCCAGTGCCCCCTTTCTCTGACTTTCACATTACATCTCAGCCTTATTTCACCACTGAGAAGCCTCATAAAATCTCATAGTTGGAAGGGAGGCTGTTTAGTTCAGTTTGTACCTGAACAAGAACCTCCTCTAAAATATATTTTACAGATCGTCATTATGTAGTTGCTTTGAAATCCTCCAATAAAGAAGCACCCACTGATGCTTTAGGTGGCCTGTCCACTTTTTGATATCTCCAATTGTACGAAACTTTCCTGACATCAAGCCTAAATGTGCTGCTTACAATTTAGACCTGTTGCTCCATATTCTACCCTCAGGGGCCAAGGAGAACGAGTCTGATCCTTTTTCCACGTGATAGCCTTTCAAATACTTGAACACACCAATTTCTTGCCTCATTATCCTAGGTTTGCTTCACCATCCTGGTTGCCATTTTCTTGATTCCTTTTGGCTTATCAATGTCCTTCCTAAAGTGTGATGCCTAAGACTAAGCACCGTATTCCTTCACTTGCCTCTTTTCAAGATATTTTGTTTCTCTTAACGTCCCCCTAAGATTGCATTAGTTCTTTTGACTTCCATACCATATAATACTCATAATGATCTTACAATCCATTAAAACACTTAGCATTATTTTAGGGGAACTAAAACAATTCTAGCTACGCCTCCCCAGTTTGGTATTTGTGAAGTTGATTTTTTTGAATCTAAGTGTAAGAATTTACACGTATTTTTATTAAATTTAATCATGTTTGCTCTCTCATAATCTAGTACATGTATTTATATATATGACAGATAATAAGTTTCTGCCCATTCCTAGACATTCTCCCCTCCGTTACCTACTTATATGTGTATATTTCCTACTTAACCCTTTTGTAATATGAGTTACAGTTTCCCCCTAAAAATGTTTTTCCTCCTCTTGTGCCCTTCTCCCCCTTTTTGGCCCTTATTCAGTGACGTCACTGACACATAGAAACCATGGCTCAGAAAGCTGAGTCCATATTCTTTTCATCTTCTTCCTTATTCACATTGTCTGTGTATAGTTTCAGATGGTACCAGATGCAGTTCCACAAAGTTGTCTCCAAAGCAAGAACTTTTGAAAGAAGTGGAACCACATGAAGAGTTAACTTATAAATTTAATGGAGAAATTCCACAGGCTTCTAAAGATGGAGAAGCATGTGAACCAGGTGTCAGGTTAAAAAATCAATGGGGAAAGCCTACAGGCAAGGAACAACATAAACATGATGAATCAGAAACTAACTTCATCCAGAACTCAGTCGTTATTGAAAGTCAAAGGCGTCAAATAGGGGAGAAAGACTGTGAACGTGTTGAGCATGAGACAACCTTTAATCACAGTACAGATCTAGTGCAACATCAGAAGAACCATGTAGGAGACCAATCCTCTAGATGTGAAGAATGTGGGAAAACTTTTAGTTCAAATAATGGCCTAATTCGACACATGAGAATCCATACTGGAGAGAGACCCTATAAATGTAATGAGTGTGGAAAAGCCTTTTGTCAGAGATCAGTCCTTAATCAACACCAGAGACTTCACAGTGGAGAGAAGCACTATCATTGTAATGAGTGTGGCAAATCCTTCAGTCAGAATGCAGGGCTTTTTAATCATCTCAAAAAACACACTGGAGAAAAACGCTTTCACTGTAATCAGTGTAGTAAAAGCTTTACTCGACAGTCAATCCTTATACAGCATCAGGGAGTTCACACTGGAGAGAAACCTTATGAGTGTAATGAGTGTGGGAAAGCCTTTGTTTACAACTCATCCCTTTTTTCTCATCAGGAAATTCACCACAAAGAAAAACGTTTTAAATGTAACGAATGTGGGAAAGCTTTCTGCAGGAGGACAGGCCTTAATGAACATCAGAAAATCCATTATGTGGACAAATCCTGTGAAAATGATGAATGTGGGAAATCCTTCAGTCAGAATGGAAGCCTCATGGAACATCAGAATAACCACACGGGACAGAAACATTATGAACATGAGGAAGGTGAGAGCTCTTTTAGTCAAAGCACAGGCCTTGCTGAGCATCAAAACCATTCAGCAGAGAAACACTATGACCATGACATAAATGAAAAAGGTCATAGTCCAAGTACAGGTTTTACTCAACATCGAATGAAGAAACAGACTGGGGATAAGACAACCTATCGTCAGAGTACAAGCCTTATAGAACGTCAGACTATCCAGACTGGTAAGGAACAGTTTGAAGAAGATAAGGGTAGAAGAAGCTTTGATCATAGTACAAACATCGTTGAACATCAGAGATCCTACACTATAGAGCAACCATACAAATGTGAAGAATGTGGAAAAACCTTCAGTGACGAAGCTGGCCTTATTCGACATAAGAAAATTCATACTGGGGAAAAACCCTATAAATGTGAGGAGTGTGGGAAAGCTTTTTGCCAGTTGTCAGCCCTCAATCAACATCAGTCTGTCCACACTGGAGAGAAACGGTATAGATGTAATGAGTGTGGCAAAGCCTTCAGTCAGAACACAGGTCTTTTTTATCATCTCAGAGTCCATACTGGAGAAAAACCCTTTCAATGTAATTTATGTAGTAAAAAGTTTAGTCAGCGCTCAATACTTACTAAACATCAGAAAATTCACTGGAAGAGGGTTTTAGTAGCATGAAAAATAGAAAATTTGCCAACCTGTCTCTGCCTTATTGACATGTTATTCAGCACTAGGGAATTAAGTGTAATGACCAAGAAGACCAGGTAGCATTTCCAATGGAGTAAATTGACTCCTTAATCCTTTCATATCTGAACATGCTTTGGAACAAGATGCTTAAATTCACTTTGTTGTATCTAACAATGTTTCTGAGATTTAGTGATTGGGAGAATGTTTATCATGTACATCATACCTGGTTTTGAAATTGTGCCATAACTACTTGTGATAGAGTTGTATCTGGTGCCTAATTCCAATTATGTCAAACTACTTTGTTTCCTTGTGATTCTAAAGGTTGGTTGCTTTGCATTAAGCGTGATTAAATTTGTGTCTTAGAGCCAGAATTTTTCCATATAAATCTTAAATTTTATAATGAAAATGATCAGAAAATAGGGTTCAGAATACTGTGTAACTTAGCAGTTTTTTCAGTGTAGTAGTGTTCTTGGTAATAGTGTTTACTCTGGGATTTTGAAGGGTACCTTTGTGTTTCATACCCTTGTCCTAAACCTTGTAGGCTCTGCCTCAGTTTTATCACTATGCCAAGACTGATCAGTTTTGGGGGGACTGATTGACCATAACAATGCATGCAGAACTGACACTAATTAATTTGCAGTAGGAGATGTTGGTTCCAAGAATTGGAACTAGTCATTTCCAGAGGATATTTTCCCTAGTTGATTGACTTATACAGGAAATCAGATTGCTAACTAGAAATTTGCTTGTAAATAGAGAATTCAGAGCTGGGGAAGTTGAATGTACTCAAATTGTATTTTTGTTAAGCTACAGTAGTTCAGTAGAATACCCTTGTCTAGTCCAGGGTAGATGGGAAGGCTTATGAAAAATATTTTTTGAGTATTTTCCTTGTTTCCCTGTAAAACTGAGGAGCAAAGCAAAAGTTTCCCATTTTGGGGGGTTTTCTAGTACTTCACATCTCTGTGTATATGAACTAGTGATTCTATGATCAACCAAAGTTATACCTAAGACATTGTTATGTATTTTCATAAGTTTCTTTAAAATTTTAAATTTTAAAAAATGGCCTGTATTTCCATTTCTCCCCAAATGACAGTTTGTATACCTCATCCCACCCCAAGGGGTTTTAAATTTTACATTTCTCTCCAAAGAAGTAGATCTGAAATCTTTCCATTTTGTCTAGTGCTGGAGAAACTAGCAAATTCTTCTTTTTCTAGATCCAGAAACCTACTCTTTTTGATTTCCATGGTTCTACCTCTTTTCAGGACCTAGCAATTTTGCATTGTGTAGGTGTAGGTATTCAGTAGACTGATTTCTGATTGCCTCGTAGACAGGTTTTCTATAGCTGCTAATTTACTTTATGTTGTGGATTCCTTTAAGTCTTACCAAGGCTCTCCCTTTTCTGACCTTACCTGTTTTTACCTTTACTTTAATGCCCTTTTTGAGAGCCATCTTTTTCTTCTCTTGAATTTGGTGGTAAGGAAAACACCAATAAATTTCTCATGACAATCATAACCTCTTTGTTTTGATACCAGGATAAAAATACTTGACTTAAACTTGGCTATGATGTATTAATAATAAACGAAATTTCTTCAGAGGTAAACTTACCAGTTGTGTGTACTTTTTATGTCTGTGGTCTTAACTTCCCCCATGTTAACAGAGGACCTTTGCTTACTCAGCATTCAGAATTCTCTCTCTGCTTATATTCCCTTCATATTCTGAAGACTTTTTTCTTACCTGTTTTGCCTCTATGAGAACAGGCTTGTTGTTTTTGTACTTCACCTGGGTCTGTGGCCAATTCAATTATTCCCAGGTAAATGAATATCCTACCACATGAGACAAGTAGTAAGCTGTGCATCCTTATATCCCAACTGAAAGAAGCTCAAAGTGTTTGATAGTATATCAGCAGGTAATTTTTTTAAATGGCCCTATGATTTCATTAGCCTAGGGAACTCAGTGGGGGAAAATTCCTCTACCAATGCAAATTGACACCTACTATGTAGTTTATAGTTGTAGAGACTTGCTCTGGGGTTGCATAGCCAATATGTTTCAGAGGTAGGTTGGTGGTGATATTTTTATGGAATGATGAGTTTTAGAAGCGTTCACTCAAAGAAATGCATTTTCCTACATTCAGTTGCAAAAATTAAGCTCTTTTTATGGGCTAGGCATTATTCTAAACCTTGGGGATTAATGAAAAATGACATAATCTTCTCCCTAGGGGCATAATGGCTAGAATACTGGACTTGAGAGTCAGCAAGATCTGAATTTAAATCTCGACTCAAGTGTTGCTAACTGTGTGACCTTGGGCAAAGTTACTTAACCTCTCAGACTCAGTTTCCATATCTGCAAAATAGGGATAATAATAATTCCTAGGATCATTGTAAGGAACAAATGGGATAAAGCACTTTGCAAACCTTCAAGTGCTATATAAATTCTAGTTGTCATGACAGATGAAGCATGTACACAAGTCACCCTAATAAAGTTGGAGTGTGAATGCATAGGAGAGGTCAGACAGGCATTTGAGGAGATTAGGATCATTTCTAGCTAGAGTTATCAGAGGTAGCTTTTATGGAGGAAATGGGACTTGAGTTTGGGAGGAGGGGTGGTTATGTTGATAAATGGCATTCTACTTTGTTCTGGCATTTCTGATTTGGACAGTATTTTAGTGTAGTGGGAAGTATGCAGGATCTGGTGCCAGAAGTCCTGAGTTCAAATGCTGGCTCTCCTGTGTGTCACAGCCCCTCTAGACCTCAGTTTCCTTTTCTTTTTAGGGAGAGGGTCAGTAAGTCAATATTAACAATTTATTATGTGCCTGTATGTGTCAGGCACTGTGCTAAGCACTGGGGATCTAAAAAGAGGCAAAACTGTGCTGAGCACTGGGGTTCTAAAAAGAGGCAAAACACAGGCCCTACTCTCAAGGAGCTCACAATCTAGTGGGGGAGAACAAGAAAATAAATATGTACAAACAAGCTATACATGGGAAAATAGAGGGGCAGCTAGGTGGCCCAGTGGATAGAGCTCTGGCCTTGGAGTCAGGAGGACCTGAATTCAAATGTGGCTTCAGACACTTGATGCCCACTAACTGTGTGATCCTGGGCAAGTGACCCAACCCCATTGCCCAGCCCCAAAAAAACATTAAAAAAAAAAAAGAAGTAAATGGCCATTATAGTGGAATACATAAATTTAACATGGAAGTTCCTGGCTTTTGGTAGCTGTTGGTAGTTAATAGTAATTTGGTTCCAAATATCTTTCAGCAGTTTCACTTGTGACTGTCTTGAAGTACACTTTAGCAGCATGGTAAACTTCGAGTCATGTTAAAAACACAGATAACCATATAAATATATTTGTACATATATACTTATATATATATACTAGATGTGTGATTATCTATTCAGTGCTTTTTTTTTTACAGGTTGTTATTCATATTTATTTATTTTTAGTTTTTAACATTTACTTCCATAAGATTTTGAGTTCCAAATTTTCTCTCCATCTTGTCCCTCCCCCTACCCCAAGACAGCTTGCATTCTGAATACCCCTTCCCCTAATCTGCCCTCCCTTCTATCCCTCTCCTCCCAACCCCTCCCCCACCCCCTTATCCCCTTCTCTTTTCCTGTAGGGCAGGATAGATTTCTAGACTCCATCGCCTGTATTTCTTATTTCCCAGTTGCATGTGAAAACAATTTTTAGCATTTGTTTTTAAAGCTTTGGTTTCCAAATTCTCTCCCTTCCTCCTTCCCCACCCACCATCATTGAGAAGGCAAGTAACTCGATGCAGGTTATACATGTATACTCACGTAAAACACTTCCATATTAGTTATGTTGTGGAAAACTAACTATATTTCCCTTCATCCTATCCCACCCCTCATTTATTCTATTCTCTCTTTTGACCCTGTCCCTCCTCAGAAGTATTTGCTTCTGACTACCCCTTCCCCCAATCTGCCCTCCCCTCTATCATCCCTCCCCTCTCTTGTCTCCTTCCCCCCTATTTTCCTATAGGGTAAGATAGATTTCCATACCCAATGGAGTGTGTATGTTATTCACTCCTTAAGCCAAATCCTATGAGAATCCTCTCACCTTCTCCCACTTCCCATCCACTGTAAAAGCCTTTTCTTATCTGTTTTATGTGAGATAATTTACCCCATTCTACCTCTCCTTTTCTCCTGCTCCCAGTATAATTCTCTCTCACTGCTTAATTTTATTCTCCAGATATGACACCTTCATCTTCAACTCACCCTGTGCCATCCATCTATCCATACATACATATAATTTTTTCCCTCCAACTACCCTAATACTGACAAAGGTCTCATGAGTTACAAATATTATATTTCCATGTAGAAATGTAAACAGTTCAACCTTAATAAGTCCCTTATGATTTCTCTTTCCTGTTTACCTCTTCATGCTTCTCTTGAGTCTTGTATTTGAAAGTCAAATTTTCTATTCAGCCCTGGTCTTTTCATCGAGAATGCTTGAAAATCCTCTATTTCACTGAATAACCATTTTTTCCCCTGAAGGATTATACTCAGTTTTGCTGGGTAGGTGATTCTTGGTTATAATCCTATCTGCTTTGCCCTCTGGAATATTATATTCCATGCCCTCTGGTCCCTTAATGTAGAAGCTGCTAAATCTTGTATTATCCTGATTGTATTTCCACAGTACTTGAATTGTTTCTTTCTGGCTGCTTGCAATATTTTCTCTTTGACCTGGGAACCCTGGAATTTGGCTACAATATTCGTAGGAGTTTTCCTTTGGGGATCTCTTTCAGGAGGTGATTTGTAGATTCTTTCCATTTCTATTTTACCTTCTGGTTCTAAAATATCGGGGCAGTTTTCCTTGATAATTTCTTGAAAGATGATGTCTAGGCTTTTTTTTTGATCTTGGTTTTCAGATAGTCCAATAATTTGTAAATTATCTTTTCTGGATCTATTTTCCAGGTCAGTTGTTTTTCCAATGAGATGTTTCACATTGTCTTCTACTATTTCACTCTTTTGGTTTTGTTTTACTGTGTCTTGATTTCTCATAAAGTCACTAGCTGCCATTTGCTCCGTTCTAATTTTTTTTGAATTTATTTATTTTTAGTTTTCAACATTTACTTCCACAAGATTTTGAGGTCCAGTTTTTCACCCCATCTTGCCCCTCCCCCCTCCCCAAGATGGCATGCATTCTGAATATCCCTTCCCCTAGTCTGCCCTCCCTTCTCCCCCTCCCTTATCCCATTCCCCTTCTATTTTCCTGTAGGGCAGGATAGATTTCTGTACCCCATTTCCTGTATTTCTTATTTCTCAGTTGCGTGTGAAAACATTTTTTTTAAACATGTGTTTTTAAAACTTTGGGTTCCAAATTTCCTCCCTTCTTCCCTCCACACCTACCCTCATTGAAAAGGCAAACAACTGAATATATGTTATACATGTGCAGTTATGCATGACACTTCCATAGTAGTCATGTTGTGAAAAACTAACTCTATTTCCCTTAATCCTATCCCATCCCCCCCCCATTCTTTCTTTTGACCCTGTCCCTCCTCAGGAGTGTTTGCTTCTGATTACCCCCTTTCCCAATCTGCCATCCTTTCTATTATTCCCCTGCTCTCTTGTCCCCTTCTCCCCCTATTTTCCTATAGGGTAAGACAGATTTCCATACCCAATTGAGTGTGTATGTTATTCCCTCCTTAAGCCAAATCCTATGAGAATAAGATTCACTCATTCCCTCTCACCTCCCTCTGTTTCTCCTCCACTATAAGAGCCTTTTCTTTTCTATTTTTTGTGAGATAATTCACAGCATTCTACCTCTTCCTTTCTCCTTCTCCCAGTATAATCGTCTCTCACCCCTTAATTTTATTCTCTAGATATGACCCCTTCATCTTCAACTAACCCTATGCTATCTATCTATCTATCTATCTATCTATCTATCTATCTATCTATCTATATCTGTAGATATAATTTTTTCCCTGCAACTACCCTAATACTGAGAAAGGTCTCATGAGTTATAAATATCATCTTTCCATGCAGGAATGTAAACAGTTCAACCTTAATAAGTCTCTTATTTTATTTGAAAGTCAAATTTTCTATTCAGCTCTGGTCTTTTCATCAAGAATGCTTGAAAGTCCTCTATTTCACTGAATGACCATTTTTTCCCCTGAAGGATTATACTCAGTTTTACTGGGTAGGTGATTCTTGGTTGTAATCCTATCTGCTTTGCCCTCTGGAATATTATATTCCATGCCCTCTGGTCCCTTAATGTAGAAGCTGCTAAATCTTGTGTTATCTTGATTGTGTTTCCACAATACTTGAATTGTTTCTTTCTGGCTTGCAATATTTTCTCCTTGACCTGGGAACCCTGGAATTTGGCTACAATATTCCTAGGAGTTTTCCTTTGGGGATCTCTTTCAGGAGGTGATTGGTGATTCTTTCAATTTCTATTTTGCCCTCTGGTTCTAAAATATCAGGGCAGTTTTCCTTGATAATTTCTTGAAAGATGATGTCTAGGCTCTTTTTTTGATCATGGCTTTCAGATAGTCCAATATTTTTAAATTCTCTCTCCTGGATCTATTTTCCAGGTCAGTTTTTTTCCAATGAGA